TTGGAATTTATACATAGCTCCAAAGAGTGTCACCTAGTCTCTTCTATACCCAAACCCAGCCTGAGTGCACACCCCCTTGCCCCACGCCGTGTCTTATCTCTTGAGTTTTTCTGTAAGCTGGTAGAGGGGTCACAGTCTCACTGTGTCCTGCTATCTGAGGTCCACAGGGGCCTGTAATTTCTGGGAGTGTCCTTAGCTGTTTTGGAGTCTTGGGCTGAGGAAAGGAAAGAATTAGTTTGGTTCTTTCTTCCCCCAGTCTTTGGGTTTCCTTAGATATAATAAGGCCTAGATATTTTGCCTCAGGGCTGCAGGGTTGTGCCTTGGATCTGGAAGCATTATAGCCCCTGTCTGTTAGAAAATTCAGCAGAGCACAGTTTAAAATTACTTGTAACAGTCTATCCCTTTAGAGGGAACAATTACACGTGGCTATCAAACAACTATGGTTATCAAAGCAACAATGAGAAGCCTGTATAGCTGGGTACTCCAGTCAGATAAACCATCAGCTTAGGGCCCATCTTAACATGGTCTTTGCTTTCACAGGTGTAGATTTTTATTCCTTTTGGTTCTTATTACAAGAGATCTCTGTTAATTGATCTACAAAGTTCTGACTAGTCTTCTTTTATAATTATAAACCTAAAAATTATAAAAGTTATTATAATTCAACTTGGCCAAATACATCTGAGGGCACTCTGGTTTATAAACAAGTTGTCTTATGTGTGTGCCTGTCAGCCCATTCAATTTGTTACAACATGTATAGCTGTTTTGTTTGAATTTTTTTCTTTTTGCATTTTGTATTTTTAAGATGTTTGCCTGTAACTATAGATAATGTTACTAAAGACATGCTTTTCCCAGGTTGTCAGATTATCCAAATAATGTCAACTGGTTTTACAAATACAGTACATATTATCTATATATAACTCAGAAATCTTTCATTGGTCAAAAATAATGTGTTAATTGTTATGATCTGGCTCTCATAAGTCATCTAAAAATTTGTTAAGATAATTAAATAAAGACTCTTGGGCTTAGGAAAACTACTGGACAGGATTCCCCTTGGTAAATAAGGGAGCAGCTGCCTGGAAAAATTTATTCCAGCCTTTGTTCACAAAGGGGACCCAATAATTTCCATAGCCTCATGGGAAATACATCAGTAAACATATCATTGTGATATGTATACATTGGTCATGGTCTAAGTTTTCTATGGGAAAACAAGGTTTTATTTAAAATGCTCTTGGTACAAAACAAAATTAAGGGGACAAAGGGTTTCATGTAACTGACAGTCATTGTTATTTCATGGTATATATATTATATATATTCATAATATATAATATATATATTCATTATATATATATATATTCATGCCTTCTGGGTGAACAAGTCTTGTAGGATATTGTTTATGGTAATGAGCTTTTTTTGACTCAGGTAACTGCCTTTTTCTTGCACTCCAGCTACTTATGATAAGAGGTACATGTCAAGCCAGCATAAAAAAACAAGTCAAATAATAGTTTTCTTAAAAACTTATGTGATGTATGCTGTATGTGTCACCACACTTAGGGATGTTCAGTTGCCAAACAGTTGAAACAATGTCACACACTAAAAATAGAGGATAGACATTATAAACTCCTAAGGTACATTTATAGGCCAATATATATGTTCTCTTTAGATGGCATCCTACTAAAGGATAACAAATAAGTTTTCTTTATGTCATTTAATGTCTTGTGATCAGGTGGAGGTGTTTGACTGAAAGACTATTCCAAACTAAGATGGACATGTAAGTGTTACAAAGAAAATGTCATCATGATTGTCATGCTAAAATACTATGTGTAGCTCTTGATCTTAAGTTTCTCTATATAATGTACAACTGTTGTCTGTTAACTGCAGGGATTCAACTAAATGACCATGGTTGGTAAAATAACAGCCCTGTAACTGTGCTTTCTATTTCAAAAATGCTTAATGTCCAGACAAAATTATAATAGTTAAGCTCCCTGCTCCTACTGAAATACTTATGTCACTGATCTTCTCTTCTGGATGTTCAACAACTAAAATTTGGAGACCAAAAACTAGAAAGGTAACTTGGCTATGAGGACAGCCAATATTTTGGCCCTGGCCTTTCAAGGTCAACAAAGAATCTAGGACATGAGGGAACCTTTTCTGCAGGATCCTACAATCTCCTGAGCAGGGAGATTGCTGAGCATCAGAGGACGAATGTGTATGCCAAAGGAGGGTCACCAAGAGGGAAAAGTCTCCCAAGCTTTCACTGAAAGCAACATGGTCAAGCAAGGCCGTGACCCATCCTGATGGGTGACACTGACAGAGGAGCTGAAAAGCTCTATGCATGGTTCCCAAGTAATGCCTAAGGAGACTTAGCTGCCCTTGACAGATAGCAAGAGGTTCATACTTATTGACCTAGGTCTCACTTTAACTTGGTCTTAAACACCAAACAGAAAAGAACAACCAAAAGAGGTATAAAATAATGCCATCATAATAAATCTAGATATAAAAAGGGGCTCTAGTCACTGACCCCTTCTGGCAGTTTCTAGCTACACCAGTAGCTGACCACAGTTATGGATCATTAGGAAAAAACTATGGTAAAATCTATGAGAGCTTTGCCCCCTCACAGCAGTTAGGGGTACTTCTTCAGAGGGGGGAATATTGTAGATAGGTAAGTTAGTTAGGTATCTTATAGGCAGTTAGACAAGGCCTCCCTTAAGGCGCCAGCCCTCCAGGAGCCAACATAGAGAACAACTGAGGCACATTCACTGGTTAGCATTATAAAAATGAAAAGAAGTACTACTTCCCCTAGAGATAGATAGCAGTGATTGATATCCTAAATGGGAAATTCCTTGTATGTGATTTGTCTTCCCATTTGATTCCCATTTAATCAATATTACCTGAGTGACTGTACTTGTAATCTTGTTGGTTGGTCATGGTTTGGTCCCACCTCATGCCCACCTTGTAAATTTCTTTTGGGTCTTATAGTTTTGTCCCATTTTGTACCCGCCTCACCACATGGCTTTGCTGTATAAAATATCTTTGAAAAGTGGGGTGGGTGGGCAACCCACTTTCCCGTCCCACTTCTGTCTGTCTCAGACAGAAGCTTTCTTTCTCTCAATAAATTTTTTCTACTCTTAAAAAAAAAAAAAAAGGGTGTCTGAACTCTGTTGGCCAAGTACATTGCCTTTCTATTAAAATGTGAGATCCCCCATGTCCTGAGCAACGTGGACTGATTTGAGCCTTTGTCCCAGAGTTCACTGGAAAACAAAAGGTCACACTAGATGTCAGGTGGTCACTCCTAGATTTGAGGAACTCCTGTGAGAGGGGTCACCATGGAAACCAGTCCATTGCCAGGCAGCCAGATAAATGGCAGGCAACAACATGCTGGTGTGTGTGTGTGTGTGTGTGTGTGTGTGTGTTGTTTTGGGAGGATGCAAAGGATTAGCCTGGTACCCCCTATTTAACTGGGCATCCAGCTAACCCTGGACTCTGGCATGTAATACAGGGCTACATCCAATCAAGATTGGCTGAAGATGAAGGGAAGGAACCCCGTTCCGTCAAAGGCAAATCCATGTTGCGTGCTAGATGGACCAGGATGGGACTAAGGAGAGACTAAGCTGAGGCCTCTGGGGACCCATATGTCACCACTCTGCATGGAGGGTCCCCCCATGGATAATGGTCACATGAGCAAAGGGCTGCTCAGAAGGGTCTGCAACATTAGCCCCCCTGGACTGCAGGCAGTGTCACCTCAAATTCATATGCTGAAGCCCTGACCCTCTGTGTGGTTCTGTTTGGAAGTGGGTCCCTTGGGAAAATGAGAGGCTGGGGTCCACATGATGGGATTAGTGTTTGTACCTGGAGTGGGAGGGACCAGAGCCCTCTGTCTTGCACCGTGTGAAGAAGACACAGTGGAAGCCACCTCATGCAAGCCAGGAGGGGCACCTTGCCAGGAATGGATCAGCTGGAGCCCACACCCTGAGCTCAGATGCAGCCCGGGGCTGTGAGAAGTGAGTTTCTGCTGTGTAAGCGGCAGGGTCTGTGGATGTTGTTTCGGCAGCTGGAGCCCATGGAGCACCTTCCTGGCCTGTGGCTCTGGGAACCTCTTTCACCCCTTTATCTCAGTCTTATTACAGCTTCTTTTGTGGCAACCACAGGCTGGCAGGTGCAGGTGCTCTCAGGGCATAGAAGGTGCAGAAGGCGGTGGGTCTGCATCCAGCACTGCCTGTGCTATGGGTCTGTTTCCCTGGCAGAGGCTGGGGGAGCATCAGAGGCTGGCAGCAGGGCTGAGGCTTGGTTGCCTGGGGGTCCAGCAGCAAGGGGCTCATGTTCATTGACCTGGTAGACTTGGGGCCATCTGGAGAGGCCAGTGGGTAGGCAGCTCTGTGTGTCCACGCTCTTGGCCATCAGTGGCCTCCAGTATCAGCCCCATTGAGCTGGTAAGGAAGTGAAGTGTGGGTGAACAGGACTGTCTCCATCCGCTTGGGCTGCTCTAATGCAGTGGTAAACACTGGGAGTCATGGCATCAGGCATGTGCATTACACTGTTGTCTGCCTGTTCCTGGCCTGGTCACCTCTCCAAGATCCCACCTACCATGATCCTGCCACCACCTTGGGGTGAGGATCTCAGCCTAGAAGTGTTGGGGAAACAGACTTCCAGACCATAAAAGTGACCGAGCACCATCAGCCCACTCAGATCAGGCCAGGGGCAGACTGTTGTCCCTCTGAGCCCACAGAGGCCATGTCCTAAAGAGGAAAGAGAAGGGCTCTCCTGACAGCGTGAGATTTTGCCACCCAGAGTCATGAATAGGGGTGATGTGTTTATTTTGGTTCCTGTGAAGCTTAGGCAAATGATTAACAGTTGATCAATTATTTAAAATAAAGCAAGCCTGCCAACAGATTCAACTCAACAGTGATGGAACTTGTGCAAGGTAATGAGAAATAATTAATCTCTCCTGTTTGCTGCTCTCTCGTAAACACAGAGTCTGCTCTTTTCCCGCCCTGCTAGCCTACCTTGGGGTAGTGATAGAGCTTTGCTGCCGGGTACGCCGAGCCCGTGTAGGTTGGCAGCTCCATCACGGGCACGCGGGAGTCATTGATGGTGGCGTAGGCCAGCCTCGTGCCATCTGGAGACCACCAGTGCGCGATGTGGGTCTTCAGGATCTCCTCTAGGGAAACAAAGCAGAGAAATGTGAATGGGTCGCCAGGGAGGGCACCCACAGGGGACTCCACACCACAGCATGCACTGTGGCCTCCTGGGGCCTGGCCATCCTCACCTAGCCCCAGATGCATGCCTTTCAGGCTCCAGAGGGCTCTGAGGCTGGTGGCTGAACCCGTCTCGTCTTAGTACTGGGGGCCTAGTAAGCCTCTTTTCTAAATTATCTTCTAAATAATAATCTTTCTAAATTTCCTATTTCTCCTTATTGTAATTGACATGCTTCTCCAAAGCCCTGTCTCTGCTAATGAGCACTTTTGAATAGAATGATTTCAGACTGTGATTTGTATATTATTTTAAACACAGAACCAGAGGAGGTCAGCTTGCACTGCAGCACAGCAGCTGGTGTGTCCAGAGCTCTCAATGGGAAAGGGGTCTCTGCCCAGCTCTTAGCCTGGAAGGATAGGCGGTCTGCAGGAGGTGTGGGGCCGGCAGACAGGATATGCTCCTGCCATGTCCCAAGGCAGACAGGAGAGGAGGAGGAAGTAGAGGAACTCAAGGCCCAGCCTGTGTCCAGCCCCAGAAAGATGAATCCAAGTGGGGCTGGGGTGTGGCTCAGTGGTGGAGTGCTTGATTGCCAAGCAAGCCTGACACCCTGCCTTTCATCCTCAGAACTGCAAAACCCCAAACTCAAACCAAACCAAACACACAAAACACCAAGAGAAAGAAGGACCCAATTCAGTTCACTCTGGCAGAATATGAAGCATGCCAGCCTAGAAAGGACAGAGACAGGAACTGCGACTCTCTTAGGTTCCTACCAGAGGCACCCACAAGCTCTTCTCTTCCCCCAAGTGCCTGGCTACTCAGTGTCCACTATACATAGGTTTTTTAGGTGTTTGAAATACAATCCAGGGAGAAAAATTCTATGTGCTTATTTTTCCTGTACTGAGATTGAACCCAGGCTCTTTGTACTTATCTACATCTCCAGCTCATTTTTTATTTTGTTTTCAGTCAGGGTCTTGTTAAATCACTAAGCTGCCAAGGCTGAGTTTGAATCTGTGATCTTCGAAACTTAGCCCCCTAGAGCACAGCTTGTCCCAGCACCAACCTCATGCCCATGGCTCTGAGCTCAAGGGGTTCTCTTCTACAGAAAGGGCTTCTTGTAGCATAAATGAGCCCCTCCTGGTTCTGCTTTTGGAATAACAATTCCTGTAGTTACACACCAAGCAGCTCTGGTCCCTGGCAGGCAGGGACTACATTCCCACCTGTGTTCCTACATTAGAGAGTGCAAGCAGGGGGCTGAGAACACTTGAGAAGCAGCACTGGTGCACAGTTGGGTGGGGAGCAGCTGGTTGGAATGGAGTTGGGGGTCACTGCCCAGGGGGAACCTGGTCACCAAGGGGAGGTGCACTGGGAGGACCCAGAGCTAGGCCACCCTGGCCACAGAGGACTCAGTCCTTGACCATGACCATGAGGACAGTCAGAGGAGGCCATGTGCCAGGAGAGGCTGGCTGGGGTACAGGTTTTCCCCTCCCCACGTTGGAGACCTGGGTACCCCTGGAGGAATGATGGCTGCATTAGTGTCCTTCTCTCTGTCCTCTGAGACACCTCCTTCAGGGTAGCACAGCCTGCAGTGACCCTGCTGCTGCTTGTAGCACCAGACAGCAGTCTCATGACTCATGAAGCCATGGTCAGGCCACCTTCCATCCCCAGGATGTCCTAACCTGGACCCAGTGCTCAGACAGCGGGTTCCAGGGCCCTGAGTCCTGGGTCTGAGCCCCAACAAGTGGTGTGTTCCTGAGTCCTCACATATGGAAGGGGATCCAGTAGCTGCTCTAATGTCCCTCACTGGGATTTCATGGATCTGCCCTACTTCTGTGGGGACTTGGGGCTCTGTGGGGGTAAATGGGGGGAGAGAAAGCCCTGCAGGCCAGTCTCCGGAGCTTGTGATTTTCCAGCACTGTCAGGTGTGAGCTTGGAGTGAGGTGACTCAGAAGTGACTTTACACGGAGTCACCTGATCTGCCAGGGTGCTGGTGGGAGCAGTGAGTAATAGACCCCAGCAGATGGCTGCCTGGAAAAATAGGCACCATTTGAATGCAATTTTCGTGATTCTGTTCAATCACTTCTCCAACATGGAAACAGCGCCAGTGAGTGGAGTCTGAGGGCAGAGAGAGGAGGGAGCATGGCCCAGCAGAAGTCAGCACGGGGGCCTTGCAGTGCTTTGCGGGATGTTAATTCCCAGCCCCAGTGGACAAAGGGCTGGCAGCCATAAGCTTCATAAATGAAGAATGCTGGACGGAGACAAACAAGAATAACAGCCAAACCTCTGAGAGACGACTTGTCTGCTCCTTCTCTTTGAAGCCAGCACCCTCTCCCAAGACCAGAGAGGTCAGACATGATGCATGGACAGGCACATCTTCATCATCCCACAGGCATGGTGAGAGGCGACCAGGAGGAGGGTGAAGTGACCCGCTCCTTCCCACCCACCTTGGTTTGCTTCTCACTGTTGGACTTGCCCTTGGACCGGAAGGAAATACTGTTTCTCCAGCTTAGCACAGGTCAGGGTGGGTCACATGTGGGGACAGAGACTAAATATGAGTAAGGACCTGAAGCTGGGCTGAGGAGACCACATTTTCATCAATCCCATCAGCAAAGTGCCAGGGTCCTATGCCCAAACTCAACTTGCCTTTCTGAGACTTTGGATGCAGAAAAACAATCAATGTAGACCACAAAACGTGATATTTAGAATAGAACTTGGGGCCTGTCGAATTTGGGGGTGACACACTGTGTGAGTGCATGCGTGTGTGTGTGAAATGTGAGTGCCTTCCAGTCCCAGCCCACAGTGACATGGTGGCATGTACAAAGGTGTTCTGCCACGCTGAAAGCCTGGCCCTGGAAAACAAGGGTAGCTAATTTGCTTTCCCTGTGTGTCCATGAACACATTATCTCTTAGGGTTTTTATTTTTCTGTATGTTGGTCACTCATCAAGGACACCATTAAGAATAAGAAACTAAGGGGGAAAGGACCAGGCAGACAACACCTGGGCATCATAGCATTCATTATGAAAGTCCCTGTTCTGCAAACATTTTCTTCAAGATCCCCGGCTTAATGAGGCAGCTGCTTAAATGCCACATACCAAACGTGGTTTAGGAACAGAGATTTGCAGACAGAGAAAAAAAAATCCCTATTTCATCAACTGAATTAATTGCATGAGCCCTTGTCTCTGAACAGAATGGATAGCTCGTCTTTCCAGCAAGCCCAGCTAACTGAGGAATCTTCCTTCACCTTCCTGTTCTGGGGGACTAGTTTAGCATCACATGGGGAGCTTTGCTAAGATGCCCCAAGGTACCCAGTGGGTCACAGCAGGCACAGCCTCAGCCAGTCTCTCATTTCTTGCCCAAACTGCCATTGGCGGTGCTGCTCACCCATGCCAGCCTGTGTTTCAGGCACTTGTCTGGCAGGACAGGAGCCCTTTGGGCTCCAGATGGTAGAGGGCAACTCAGCCAAAGGGCATCTTCACATCTCTGGATTGCTTGGCAGACGCAGGTTAGGAGGTGCACACTGATCTCATTCTGTCACATTCTCGCAGAGTGTCAGGGGTGGCTTGAAGGCATCACTTGGCTAGGCTGTGTGCATGTGTGCTGTGGATATAGGTGTCGGTGGCCCTGCTCCAGGAATGGGGTCTATGTGTACAGGGCACCTGGGAGCCCAGCAGGTGGCTTTGTGGTGCACATTTTGGTTAAAGATGACCTGACCAGAGAAGAAGGTAGAAGGCCTGTCACTGTGAACACATGGAGGGGCCCGGAGGACTCCATGCTAAAGGAAGTAAACCAGGCACAGAAAGACCAGGACTACATGATATCACCTGGAAGTAGGATCTAGGGGGATCTAGGGAAAGTGACGTCACGAAGACAGCAGGAAGAGAGTGGGATGGAGAGGGGATGTGTTGGTTACAGGGCACAGAGATTCAGTGAGACAGGAGGAGCAAGGCAGGGGTTCTATTGGGCATTGTGGTGACTGTGGTTGACAAAACTGTGCACCTGAAAGCTGTGGATAGAGTGGGGTGGGTGTGTTCTCCCCACAAGGAACACCAAAGCGATGCACGTGTTAATCAGCTCAATTTAGCCACCCCACGATTCATACACATCTCAGAACAACAAGTCACACACTGTAAATATATACCATTTTGTCAATTAAAAACACCACAAACAAAAAATGACTGGAAACATCCATGCTATCTTGTGAAATAAATATCGGTTGCAGAATTGTATCCACAGGGTCTCATCAGCAGGTATGAAATTATTCTGGGAAGCTGCTCTTCTTCAACAAATGACAGGCTCCCCTTATGGGTTTGTTGTGTTCCCTAAGAGAGATGAAATCCACATGAAACCTGTGCATGTGACCTTGGAATGAGGTTCATGCAGACATAGTCATAGGTAGCTCAGGCTGAGGTCATCCTGGGGTGGAGTGGATCTTGCAGCCACTATAATTGCTGTCTTTATGAGGAGAGAAGAAGGGCACAGACACAAAGAGGTGACCACATGTGGCCACAGAGACAAAGTGATGTGTCTACAAGCCCATGGTAAGTCCCCTTTCCCAGTCAAGGAATTGGAGGTTCAGAGAACTTTGATGAAGAAAGACCGAGTACTCCACATAGGGCGAAGCTCATGCTATGATAGGGGGAGATGAAGTTTATAATAAACAAAATATTATCTTCCACAATCCCAATACCCAAGCGATCCACATAGAAACTATAAAGGATGGTGGGGGCTGGAAACACAGAAATAGCCAGAAATTTGAGTGACACTGCAGCAGGCTCTTCCTGGAGCAGGAGTGGTGAAGCCTGGAAATTGACCTCCAACACCCACACTCTTCTCTTTTAGTAGAAGAAAGCACGCGTTTTGGCTGGGAACATGGCCTTCGAGGGCAAAGGCAAGGTTTCCCGGCCCCTGGAAGTTGGGGTGTGTGACCAGTCCAACCTTCACCTCTCTTTCCCTCTTCCTGCTGGCTG